GTTGGCAGAGAAAAGCAGCGTGGACCTGCGTCGCGATGCTGAGCGGTATCAGTATGGTTCGGGGCGTCTGGTGTGTCAGCACGTCACGCGAAACTTCCGGCTCGGCAGGTAAAACCGCCACTATTTCGCCGAACGGGATATTGAAAATGCGCGATTGAATGCGGTCGAGGACTTCGGTTCTTAACCTTCGCCCTGATACAGATAGAGAGGGGGGAGGGGGGCGAGGGGACGATGCGACCCCTCCCTAAGGATTTTTGAGGATACCTTTCCAGCATGCCATGCAATCGCACCCAAATTTTCAGTAGTCTGTGTGGGACAATCATTACACGTGTTTGACCCAAAAACTTGTTCCTAGCTGTTCTGATTTAGGATCAGCGGCGCTTTTTGACGAACACTGCACGGCGATCTCTGGCTAGCGTAGGCGGCTGGCGGAAACCGACGATGCCGCGGAGCGCCCGCGACGTGCCGACATTGTTCCACTGATAGCGTCATATCTCATATATATTTTTCACAAGACAATAAATACACATCAATGTACTCAAAATTGAACAAAATGGCGGATTTTGAAGGGAAGGTTTCACCTTTGCATGGGATTTTGAACTGAAATAGCCATCTTGAGGACCTTCTATGCAGTTCACGGGCATGCTCCTTTTAAGACCCAAAACTCGTCAGTCTGTGAGTCATACGCCTGCAAAAGTGCGAGAAGGTTTATTGGGAGATTGCTTTAAAGTCACCTTGGCATTGATGTCTTCATAGAAACGTCGTAGGTTCGCCATTATACTACAGGCTGCTTTCTGCCTATGGTCAAAACAGCATGACCGCTGATTCCTTCACAAGAGTGATGATGAGGCACGTATGATACAATCCGCGGAAGGTGATTGGCTGTTTGTACAGATGTCGCTACTGAATGCGTGTCACGAACGTGTGAGCACTCGGGTTGTGCGGCACTCGTCGCCAATGGGGGATTTGATTTATTTCTAGACTTTAGGTCATTGTTGTCAAAAGAGAACGCCACTGTCTGCAAAAGAGCACAACACCGAGAAAGGAAAAGCACTCTCCCAAATATTATAAAAAGGAAGACACGACGGCAAAATCTGAATTTTTCTCCTTCTGGTGTTTTGTCTTCTTTTACTGACGTATTTCTTGCAGACAACCCGGTTGGAGCCTTGTGTACCGGAGCAAAGAGCCTTGCACGGGTTTATGGGTTAGCAAGGCTTTATGAAATGGCGGGCATCAGCGGAAACGCTTTTCATTACCATAATGTGGTACATATAGGTACAACAAGATGCTAGAAGTATTCACGAATGTCTAGTGCATCTACTTATGCCAATATTGCATGGTTTGCACACTACATTTAGTTGGATCAGTGTTTTTGGAAAATCGAAAAGCGAGGCCTCCGCCGGCAATACGCGAATTTGGAGCAAACTCCTGTGGCGTCGCCCTTGACGTCACCCTTTGGAGCAAACTCCTGTGGCGTCGCCCTTGACGTCACCCTTTGGAGCAAACTCCTGTGGCGTCGCCCTTGACGTCACCCTTTGGAGCAAACTCCTGTGGCGTCGCCCTTGACGTCACCCTTTGGAGCAAACTCCCGTGGCGTCGCCCTTGACGTCACCCTTTGTAACGTTTTTTAATCAAAGCACATACCGAAAAGAATCGCCTAGGGGCCCATCCCTTTAAATATTGCGCTTATGGCCCTCAGTAAATCCATTGCGTACTATTCCCCCTCTCTTTTGTCTAGAACAGGTCGGTAAGCGTTGCTAGTCGTTTCGTGACGGTGACTTGCTGCGTCCGCACCGATCCTTGAAAGAGAATGCTTCCCATTTGTATGGGGGTTTTGAACTCAGGTAGCCATTCTGAAGGTCATTTAATGCAGTTTACAGTTCCCAGTCCAAACAGTCGTTGGGTATTCGAACATGCGGACTTAACGGGTCCAACGGATCCAACCAATGCAACCAACCAATCTTCACCGCCGTAAGATGGTTTGTTCGTATACAGCCGCTGGCGACTGATGGCGTAGGCGTGAGAGACCACTTCTCATTCATCTGGCCGGCCAGTGGACAGTCCCGGAGCCTCCAGGTGTATGTGGGATTTATCTGACTGGCCGGTGAACAGCCCCGGAGCCTCCAGGTATATGTAGGATTTATCTGACTGGCCGGTGGACAGCCCCGGAGCCTCCAGGTGTATGTAGCTGTCCAGTTATGTGCTGGTTCCCTCCAGCTGCAAAGAAGCAGACTAAAGGGGATGAAGGCCATTGCATAAGATGTCACACCATGCGGCCAAACCTACCGCGGACTGGCTCAGCAGACCCCTCAAGCCGACCGCAGACTGGCTCAGCAGACCCCTCAAACCGACCGCACACTGGCTCACCGGACCCCTCAGAGTGATCACAGACTGGTTCATCAGACCCCTCAAAGGGACCGCAGACTGGATCACCTCAGCCCCCAGAGAAAAAAAATGGTTAGTCAGTGCTTTGGTGCAAGTGGTTTTTTTTCAAGCGGTCCAGCACATATGCAATCTCTAAATTCCAAGAAAATTGTTCAGAAAAGCCAGACAAAGACCGCTTCCGTGCTGAACACAACAGCCGTCAAAAACTGAAGACAATCCCAGCAGCGACATGCGAAACTGGGTTTCATCAAAGTGCGCCGCGCGTGCATAACTACGCACGGGAAAGGGGCGAACATCCCGGATATGGCGTCACTGGAAGGCCGCTCCAATGCCGCGAACGCGCTTAGTACTGGTCGTAATTTCGCACCGTAAGAGAGGCTTACAAAGTGTCCGCTTGTCCAGAGCAGGAGAATGTGTGCAAAAATACTGTTTTAGTGAGGAACTTCTGAATCGCTTCACGTTTATCACGAAATCTTGACTACTTTGGGTTCAGTTTGTTCAGTTTGGAGAATCTTTGCACGTGATCTGAAAGCTTCAAGTTCTTGCCATGCCATGTCATTGGCCTTGGTCACACGTACTCGTTCTCTACAGTACAATAGTGTGGGAAATAGGAGCTCCGAGGACGCGCATGGCTTGGTGTTCACCAATGCTCTTCGGAAGCTCGGAATAAGTGAAGTGGCTGTGTTATGGATGCTACGAACGCTGCCGACATCTAACAGCATTCGAGTTCAAGGTAACATCAGATTAAATCTATCTTAAAAATTACGTCGAATCATCCCTAGCCATCCGTCGTTTCGTGCGCAGAAGAGATGTAAAAAGTGCAGAGATGACCTCGCGTGCCGCTTTGGTGGTAAATGGTGGTATGTTTTTTGTCCCATGTCACCTTAGCTAGGGGACTCCGCAAAACTGGAATGGGCAAAATTCTTTTCTGACGTCGCTCGATTCATTCGGACGAGACATCCGCTGGAGAGGAGGTGAAACTATCTAAATAAAAACCGCAGGCAAAGTTCGTGTCTTCCATCAGTCTTAAGCGTTTGCTCCAGCACATGGTTGCGCAGTAGGCAGTGACAAAACAGGCGCTGCTGACGAATGCTAAGGGGATTGGGCTCGAAGAAATACGATGTGGTACATGAGCAGGAAGTTGCATCACTCATCCTAACGCTACATTGTCTTTCCTCCTCTTACTCGAAGCTCGGAGTTTACGCTTTCATATTTATGCGAAATATTGTCGTCAGCGCGACCCCAGTGTTAGGGCCTGATACTCCAAGGATGCAGCAGTTTTGCCGCACGTGCCTCGGTCAAAGTATCATGACTCGGTGAACTGCAGCCGTTACGCAAATGCTCAGTTTACTGTTCGTAATGAGTGCTTGGAAAGTTGTGTTCAAGAATTCGTTTTTCCTTTTCATTCTGTGAACCATGGTGTTGGAATACTGCTTTTGCTCAATCCACATAAAACGAAACATTGTTTTACAAAGTCAACGACCAATTAAGTCAGAGCTGATGTGCGGCGTTTTTGTGGGGGGGGGGGGGGGAAGGGCAGGCGAGTATTCGTGCGCATGATTGGATTCTATGTATTTGGAGTTTTGTTTTAAATGTTCGAGTGTCTTAACCAAAATTGTAATATGCGACTCATCCGAATATTTGGTCTAATATTCTGACATCTCATCTGGAACAGGCAGCATTAATCGACGTCTTACAATGTGCACAGTAAATCCGATAAAACACCAATTGGGGGAAGACGACCTGGGATCTACTGTCTTGAAGCATTCTATACGCTTTTTGACTGGCCACTATTTCCAGGGTCTGTAGGGACGTATAATTCACTGATGGAAGTGTTTCCTAAGTCCCAGGTCATGCCGGGTGGTCGGAAAAGAGCGAACCATGTTTCTGGAGAACAACCGCTGAATAGCGCGTAATTTTTGGATGGCAATATGTTGTCCAAACTCCAGCAGATTTTCACTACATAATTCACCCTTCTTTTTCAAGTTCCAGCATGCTGAAATGAGTCTGTTTGGAGCGGCACTCCCCTATGCTCATGAATCAAATGTTGTTTTGTTCAGGCATCCCTTTGGGCAGGGCATGATTTTCTCGACACCTTAAACCGTGATTGAAATCATGAAACCGTGATTTTGTCGGGAAAACATGAATGCGCTTACATTTTGAGCACATTTTCTTTGCTGAAGCTCAACAGTGATCTTTCTCTTCAGCCTGAAGGTCTAGACAGTTTCACAATTTGTGAAGAGCATGCATATGTCACTGCACTCTAAGCACTTTATCAACAATGGAAGTGCACCTACGGTATTTGTTTCATTAAATTATGACTTTGCATAACACGGTTACCTTCCAGCAATCTTCTACTTCTCTGAGCAACTCTGAGAACCATTCAACATCGGGAAGTCCTGAAGCGATGTAATGCTTCACAAAACAAGCCTTTCTAACTACTCTGATGGCAAACTATAAATTCAACTGAGACAAAACTGAAATAGACCAAGACAAACGCGGACAAATATTACAGGCTGGGGATCATCCCCGAGTAAAATCTCGTGCCACATACGATCTGTTAAGAATCAAATCATCATGTACTTAGTGGGGCATCACACCGACCACTAGGTACATAATAGGTTGGTGGCAATACTTTAAACAAGCAAGCCAGAGTTACGAGGGAATATAAAGTAGTCATAAGAGCTTCGATTCATTATGCGCTTCTCAAATTTATGTGGGGTTAAAACAATTTTTTTAGTGTAATGGTGACTTTCTCTGCCAAATATGCATGAGATCTAGACACCTCACCACAAACCAGGCAAGAAAGGCTGGCGAAGTCCTGAATATGAACGCAAATATTGACATCGTTATGAAATGGACTTTAATTCGTGTGTTTACAATCATCACGGCTATTATTTCCAAGCAGACGGTGAGCTTATATGATCTTTCAGATGTTAACTTGCTGAATTGCGTAGATTTATAGCTACTACAGCATAAGCAATGGAAACACGTAGAGCGAATGCATGAAATAATTGCTAGTCTGATAGGGTGAGATGTTCTTCGGCTGTTGAGGTGTGCACAGACATGAATATGCAGGACGGCACAAGTGTATCGCAGAGAGGGCAAACAAATAGAGCGCCTAAAGCCACTTCTAATCGCCATTCTACTAAAAACTGTTCTGATTTAAAAAAGGCAGATTTAGTTTGATAACATGTGAAAACAGGTTTCACCATCAGTGACACCGAAGCCCCTTATTCGGCTCTGTGGCGAACTTTTGTTACCAATAAAAGTGTAACATCATTGAGATACTCGTTTACATCAGAGATGAAGTCTCGCGTGCTGGAGTGAATGCCATTTTTTACAGACTTTTGTCCACGCTGAAGACAGCTTATGCAGTGAAGCATTTGGTAAGTACATCTCATTGATCCTCGTGTTGCGCGTTGCTATTTGTCTAATACCCGATGCCAGCAAGCAAATACATTCATCTGGGTAATTTTCTCCTTGCTTTACGTAGTGTTTGCATGCCAGTATTACCATAACATTTGTTAAGCATGTTCGTTGAGTGTCAAGAATGGCTAATGGTGTGAAGCTGGTAATGGCGGTGCCATTTACGCGTTTATATAGCATAATGAATCAAGCTCCAAGAAAGGTTTTATGATTAGAGGACGCTCATCACCACATGCCTCAGAGCTCACCGGAGCTAGAAATAGGCATGTGTGTGCACGTACGGCACCAAAAAAAAAACAGAAAAAACGGGACACCTCTTTCGCCGCCAGTTCCCTGTCCCCGAGAGGAGGGATTTCAGTTCTTCAACAAGACCTGCTACGCTATGATCCGCGACACGCTACCGTTCGGAGCCGGCGACGCCTATTTCAAGTGCCAGACGGGCATGCACTTGGCGTTCAACAAGCCGGACATGATCTCGCACTACCTAAGAATGGAGCGGCGGCGTGGCCTGGACGGTCGGATGAGCCTGGCTCGGGTGACGAGCGCCGGCACCCTCCACACCCTGGCCAGACTACAGCGCCAGGTGGTGCACGAGCCCTCCGAGCGCTCCCTGGTCGGCCTGGCCTGCAGGTTGGAGTCATGGACTGAGCACAAAGTGGGTCCCGTCGAGAACTTAAGAACTGGCCAGGAGTCCTGCTTACGTTCCTTCGAGAACTTACGCTCACTTGGAGCGAAACGGACGCCATGTTTGGGATGGAAACACCAGAATCGCACAGACCCACACAGACACACGCAATGCCAGATGTAAGGGGTGAGGATAGTGCGGTTAATCTGCACTTTTGGGAAGTCAGATGTATCGGGTAAGATTCCATGCTGTATCTGCCCTTCCTGCCAGGGTGAAAGGCAGGCGACACCAAGCATACTCAGCTGCAGAATAGGTCAGAGGGCCCCAATAACAGCAATACGAGGTACGTAGTTAGAGTTAGTGCAGAAACTAAGTGAGTTACACCTCCATACGCACTGACTAATTATGCACCCAAAGTTCCAGCGATATCCTTTTTACAAAATCCTGCAGCTCTACTATTCACACGCTTCACTGCAGTACTCCTGACCCGCCAGTCGTCGTCAGATTCTGACGACATTGTTGATCGCGGTCTGGTTTCGTTTTTCAGGCCATGCGTAAATATGTCAACCATTCTCAATCAAACCGAAAAAGAATCCACTTGAGCCGCTCATGGCAGGCTCTCGATTGGTGTCGTCGCTGGGGGCCGCCGCGCCCAAACGACGATGGAGACTCAGCCCCATAGACTCCGCCAGGTCACTCCCGCCCCTTACTGTAGTCGTCGCCGTCTAAGGTCACCGCTCCGAATGCCTGCCTGACCTGGGCTGCTCGCTCCGTTCCGTTCCGTTTCGTTCCAGCGACGCCTGTGGCACGCCGGCCGGCTGGATATTTGCGGGGAGCGTCGCCCAACCGGCCGGCGGACTGGAGTGCTCTACCTCGCACTTCTGCGACTGGCTGCGGGGTGCCGAGTCGGCCTGGGCCAAACCGCCTCGCGCCAGCGCCAGCGCTCCGCCGCTCAGCAACCGGCTGGCGGTACTGCGCGGTCGCCTGCCGAAGATACAACAGGCCGGTCTGATAGACGCTCCGCAGACGCTGGACCTGCACAGCGTGGCCTGCGAGATACCGTACCGCACCACCGACCAGGGCGTCCGGCAGCTCATGACCCTTGGCATCGGTTAGTGGGGCGTCAGCGAGATGAGGACGGACGGACGGGGGGGGGGGGATAGGGGCAAAGGATGGCAGACGGAAGGGTAGGGAGGCAAGCGGGGGTACGGATGGGTAGCCAAGGCAGGGGATAGCGGAAGCCCAGTGGTGCAGGGGGCCTGTTGGTTAGGGGTCTCGGTTCTCACATTGGGCACCAGGCCTAGCCTGTTGGTTAGGGGCCTCGGTTCTCACTTGGGGCACCAGGTTTCTAATCCCGGTCCCACCACGGCTTCTGTGGGCGCTAACATGACCACCGTAGTCACTGGCGCCCCATTCATGGGTTCTGCACCACGTGCGCCAAGTTCTCTAAAAAGGGCCAGGGGAGACGGGAAACAGAACTGGTGAAGAACAGAACTGGAAGCCATGAAATGGGAGAATGTGGAAAATCAAGAGTATGAGGACTTGGAACACGCTGGGAGAAGAACACGAAAGCCGCGAGAAGATGAAGGCTGAGGAGGAAGTGGAGCCAAGCGACAACAACCATAATACTGGCACAGCCGGTTGGACGGCTGGTGAACACACTAGTGCTCGTCGACAGAACCAAATGCTTATCGCGCCGCTGGCACATTATGTTTCGCTCGTGCCACCATAATGTCACTTGTTACGTCGCCTGGTAATATGGGTTCAACTCGAGCATTAAGACCATCGTATATTTTCCGTTGTTGTTCAGCTTTAATGGTTTCCGTTTGTGACGGTAATGGGCGTCCAGGCCGACATTCGTCGCCACCCCTACGTAATTGCTCCCTTGTCAGTCGTTCCATGACCTAAGAGCATGTGCTGACTGCTGACAGCAGCCTATGCCGAAATAATGGGCACAAATACCGCTGAACCTAGCATAGTGCGTCGTGAACCGACCCGGTCTGACCTGTTGGCAACGAAAGTCGGCCACAAAGGTCGGCCGGCTGTTGCACATCCCAACGGTGCCTGACCTCAGTGAACCTGACCTGGCTTGACCTGACCGACTCTACATTTCCGGGTATCTTGTGCAGCGACAGAGGCCGTACTGTTGCTTCACGTACAGGCGGTGTCAGACCTGAGTGAGAGCCTGACCTGACCAGACCTGACCTGAGCGGTCACATCCGGCAGCGACCGAAGCCGACCTGCTGCTGCACGCGCAGACGGTGCGCGGTCTGTCGGCGGGCGCCACGGGCGCCGTGCCGACCAGCGTCGAGCTAAGCTGGCGGCCGCCGCGCTGCGCCGTCACCGGCTACTCGGTAGGCCAGCTGAGCGTGACCGCTGGCGGCAGCGAGAGCCGCTCGGCAGTGGAGGCCGAGCCCACCTGCACGCCCGACGCCGGCTGCCGGCTTCAGGTCAGGGCCGTGCTGCTGCGAACAGCAACGCTCGTCGTACCTTGTTGAGTTCGCTACAAAGGCAGGGCGCAGTCAGATTGTGTGAGCAAAAAAAAAAAAAACAGGTTCGAAACGTCAATAGATGTTACAGAGCCTGGTGTCCCAGCCGTGTTGCCCAAGCTAAATTCCTCATGGTCCCAGCCAGAGCCACTTGGCCTTCTGTTTTGCTCGTTAAAAAACGTAGCTTTCCGTACGCGAGAAAAAAGACTAGCTACGGCACAAACAGAACGTATTAGTTTCTACCGCCGTTTCCACCAGAGTGGTTATAGCTCCACCACGCCACTTACGCGTAGCGTTTGAATGCAGTGATTGGTCACTACCGTTTTTGTTCCATACCAATTCTTATAATTTTCGTAGGTAGCTCAGGGGCTCGACCCAGCACCCTTTTGACACACCTATGCATTCGCAAGCACTGCTCACAACGTCGGAAATTTTTGGCAACAAAAAAATGTCTTTAAAAGCTATTTTCAAATGTTTTCAAGTCACCTGCATCGTAACAGTTTGATCTGCAATGGTTTCCTTGCGACATTGCATAATCACCAGTTTCATCTCTCCATTTGATTAGCATTGGAAGCTTTAAATTTTAAATTGGCCCTAAGCTGCGCAGCAGGGCTCCAGTCCCATCTTTGGGTGTCCGGGTGTCCCAGCAGCAGGGCTCCGGTCCCAACTTTGGGTGTCCGGGCGTCCCAGCAGCAGGGCTCCGGTCCCACCTTTGGGTGTCCGGGCGCCCCAGCAGCAGGGCTCCGGTCCCAACTTTGGGCGTCCGGGCGCCCCAGCAGCAGGGCTCCGGTCCCAACTTTAGGCGTCCGGGCGCCTCAGCAGCAGGGCTCCGGTCCCAACTTTGAGCGTCCGGGTGCCCCAGCAGCACGCCACTCGTACGGTTTGACGGCGAGATGGCGACCAGCCGCAGCGGCGACGGCGGCAGTTGGTGCAGGCAGCAGCAGGAGGACGCAGGCCGTGGCGCGGTTTATGTTATGATGTCCAATCTAACGGTCAGCCAAGGCGGACAGGGACCTGAAACCGACAGCACAGTACAGGTGGATGAATGTACCAATGTCTTTCATGCCAATGATTTGCTATTTGAATAGAATACCACTCAACACTGTCCGATCCATGCGTAATTCGATAATCGACCACGAGGTAGGCTGCGCGAATGTTGCCCCTTTCGAAAGCACTTTCTAATAGGGCATCCTGTAACCCAAACCAAGGGAGATTGGGTCTCAGAAGTAAAAGAGTCGTGAAGTACAGCTTAATGTTACCAGCATCCATCTAAATACTGCCGTTTTAGAAAATACGTCGTCCACGATAAAATTCGTCGTAACCAACAGAAAACCCAATCAATCAAAACTCATCCAGGCCGCCTGCCAAAAATGATAAGTGTGGTCAGATCCACTGCCAGTTAATGATGCAAGCCATGCTGTTTGTAAATAAGGGCGTGACTTTACCTCGATAAAACTCTGCATATTTCAAACACAACAAAAAAGCGTACATTACAGTGAAGCAATATGACCGATTTAGGTGGGTCCCCAATGACAACTATTCACGCGGGCTTTGCTATAATCTGCATGGTGATTCGACTCACCCCCGTTATCCTTTCCATTGTTTCCCGCCGCTGAAGGCGACTTACCCGGTTTGCAATGCTACCGCCATGAACGATTCGACACATTATTCTCACCACAAACTGTTATATACTGCCCAGATATGTCGGGACATATCAGGATATAAGGAAGTTTACAATGGTTGATTTAATAATATGTGAACTGGCATATGACGAGATGGATGGATAGCGTCTGCACTGTCCAAAGCGCAGACGCTTTCTATAATGAACAGATATTTGACGTGCCTGATGAATTACCCTAGATATTGTACCATGGTTTAGAATACTAGATTGTCGCGAGCTGGATCATTTTACCGGGACACAATTTCATCAACACTAGCCAATGAGCAGATGCCATGAGTTGTGCGTTGGAGATCAAATGGCCGCAATCCCCACAACCAATTCATGCCCAATATAGCCTCGCTGTCAATGCATCAATCGAGGAAGCTATAATGCGCGTATTGTTTCCACTTCGAAGTCTGGGTATGACGAACCGTTGCAGGTAGATGATTGTTCAGGTATGTGCTGGAAAGGTACGAAAGCTCCAATGTCACTTGGAAGCTCTTATGTGGTTTTCGCGCGTTGCAGCGGTGTTCCATGTTTTATTTGGGTTCCATTACAAAAATACATGCATCCTGATACTGTGGAGATGATAAAGCAGGAAATAGAAGCTTTCGTAATGCAGTTGTCAATCATGCAGCTGAACCCTTACCCTGATGGGAGGGTTGATGCAACCCCCTAATGGGTTTTAAAATATATCTTCAGCATCTTGCGCAATAGCGCACCAAATTTGACTGATCCATAGGGCATCCATGACACGCGTTTTGGCAAAAAAACCTGTTTCTACCCTTTCTGGTCTTGGAGCAGCGGCGGTTCATAAAGAACACTGCACGGCGATTTACGGCCTGAGCGGGCGGGCGGGTGGGCGGCAACCGACGGTGCCCCAGAATGTGCGTGGTGGGCCGCAACACGCTCTCTCGAAAGATTCGACCCGCCATAACGGGGTTAATTATTACAATAACAGCCCACAAAGTAGCAACAAACGCGAGGTCTTGTTTGAACCAAACCACTGGTGTTTTTCTTTAAGCTCTACCTTCATTAGTTTGTAAACCCAAAGGGTTCTTGTCCCCCCTTTTATCAATACGCGTTATAAAAAACGGCGAATCAGGGCGAGGTTTAATCTTGCCATTTTCTTCCTGGTGGTGTGCATGGGGGTGCGGGTCGTGTCCCAACTGTCTGCCTCTGTTGTTTCCAGCTGCATCTGCCCTCCTGCTCGCTGGTGTACGTGGAGGTAGCAGCCGTGATAGGTGGCGAACAAGCCGCCCCCGAAGTCGTCCAGTGGCGGGCACCACCGCCCTCAGGTCGGCACCCGGCCATGCCGTTTGTATCTGTGTGTGCTTGACATGACGACTAGCAGCCCCACTTCATACGGGGCGCGTGCTCCCGCGGGGACGCGCAAAAGGGCCGTCAGCACCAGGGGCAGTGCAAGGCCCTCAATGTTGATGGCACCTGGAGTCATTTTCAGTAATATCTTTCCAGCCAACGTCCATTTTGTCAATGCTGAATACTCAGAAAGTATGATGTATATATATATATATATATATATATATATACAAACACACACACATTTATATATATATATATATATATATATATATATATATATATATATACATTGACCGTAAAAAGTGACGCCTTACGTTCGTGTACATTTGTGCGAAACCTTGACCGTCTTACAAAGCCACTATTCTAGTTTTCTGCATGTACCATGGGCAGGATCGAGGTCGATATTTTCTGGTGGGGACGGAAGGTGGAGCCCGGTGAGAAGCATGACGCAGGTTCTAAATTTCTGTTAGAAGCCATCCATGGAGACAAACGATAAAATCCGGGTATAGGATGGGACGGGCACCCCCTCCCGTCCCCCTCGGTCGCACCGCTGGTACTAAGAACAAACAGAAACAAACAGTCAAATACATGCTTTGCGTTCTGCAAAACCCTGCCGGCCTTCCTGTCATTCAGTGTGTTTCTCATTTTAGAATGTCGTTCGCCAAGCGTACGCTGAGTGGTTGAGCGTGTTTTCCATCAGCAGATCCGCCCGGTCCCATTCGGTTCTACCTGTCTGAGATCAGCGGCTCGGTAGTGGCCATGACCTGGGAGAGCCCGGCGGGCGAGGGGCCGTGCCAGCCCTACCACGAAGTCACCATCCAGGGACACGGCAAAGTTACACTGGAGCCGGGCGTGTCCCAGCTGAGGGTGGACCTAGGCGGCTACTGCACACACTTCAGCGCCTCCATCAGGGCTACCATCATGGGACGAGCCAGCGGCACCCAAGGACCCGTAGCTGGAGTCACTGGTCCCGAAGGTTGGTGCTAGAATAGTTGCCTCCGTTGCCTCCAGCGTCCCGCAGAGGGCTTAGATGGGATTGCTTTTCATATGGTTCGGCTTGTTGTTCGAATGCGCTGAGCAGGTGTGTGTGTGTGTGTGTGTGTGTGTGTGTGTGTGTGTGTGTGTGTGTGTGTGTGTGTGTGTGTGTGTGTGTGTGTGTGTGTGTGTGTGTGTGTGTGTGTGTGTGTGTGTGTGTGTGTGTGTGTGTGTGTGTGTGTGTGTGTGTGTGTGTGTGTGTGTGTGTGTGTGTGTGTGTGTGTGTGTGTGTGTGTGTGTGTGTGTGTGTGTGTGTGTGTGTGTGTGTGTGTGTGTGTGTGTGTGTGTGCATGTGGGGGATGGGCTGGGGTAGGGGTAGTTAGAACAGCATTGGTGTACGGTCTTCCCGTGGTCTGTGCTACATGTGCAATCCTGAATGTTTAAGCAGCGTAATCTCGGCTTTGAAGCCTTTGTAGCAAGCGCTCCGAAAGGCCAGGCCAATAATAAATATGGAACTGGGTCTGGAACTGGGACCACGTCTGTGCGATACGCGGATGTGCCGATGGAAGAAGGCTCGTGGCCTCGCGCCAATGTGCATGATAAACGGCCGGCCCACCCTGGGTCGGCCGCCGCGGCCGGTCGATAGAGGACACCAAAACGCTGACGCGACGCGGCCGACACCTGGTGTTTACGAGGGTGTCGCTGACCTTGACGAGCGTCCGTCTGCTGAGATACGTATCGTCCATAACGATATTTTCAAACGGAGCCCTGACACGGACGCTTTGATTTGCGTCAACGGCTGCCTGGTGCCGATTAAAAAGTCGCGAGATCAGCATACAGTTGAATTTGAGACATTTGATTTTCAACGGGTACCATTTTTTTCATAGTATCATAGGAAGAATGTCATTGTAGCACATCAAGCGTTATGTGGCGACCCCACTCAATTCAAACCCAAATCAATTGGCATTGAGATCTTCCAGAAGTCGCCTCACTCAAAGCATGTCAGTGTCGGTAGAGCTGTGTCCCGTGCCATGACGCGCCGGCCAGCTCGGCGCGGAACGGAACAGCGCTCCGGGCAGGTGGAGCGACCCTGCCGCGCGTGTTATTGCACAGACGACTTCCTAGCGGCGTGCAGTGATGCAGTCCATTTTCCTGCTTCAGCGCCGGACAGCGTCGAGGTGAGGGACACGGGCATGCGGTGGTCGCTGCTGCACTGGTCGCGTCTTGCTGCCTCCTCCAGCCCGTGTGGCTCAGCCGGCTTCCGCGTTGTCTGCACGCCGCCGCCGCTCTCCGGCCGGCCGCCAGTGATGGTGACGTCAGCCGTGCGTCAGCTGAACGTAACTGGGCTGGCGCCGGGCACCAGGTGGGCGTGTCGACTGCTACCGACTCTCATTGGATAGCGGGCCTTTACTGGCTCGGGCCGCCGGAGGCTTCAGCCTAGTGCAGTGTTTATGTTGAGAGATGATTGGTCTTGAAGGTAACATGTAGCCCGAATGGAAAGGGTAGCCATGTGGTGACTGCGGTGACTGCGTCACGCGCAAATGTCACCTGGCGCTCAAAGTTTTACCGTCGTGTTCACTTCACGCCAAGTGTTGTGAGACAACGTCACTCAAAACTGACCAGCTCCTGCCGATGTGCTCGCGCCTGCACAAAATACACTGGCGGGCAGAGCACACAGCGCTTCGTGTCTTTTCAGCACCGAGACTTCCTCACTAAGCTAGCTTTTCCCGTCGAAATGACGATCACTGAAGGTCAACCAATGAGTACTTCGCGCAGCGCCGCCTGCCGAAGCGCCGTGGTCGGCGGGTCATGCTCTCGGTGCTCTCAGTGACCTCGGTAGCAGCCTGTGGCGCAGCGCCGCCTGCCGAAGCGCCGTGGTCAGCGGGTCATGCTCTCGGTGCTTGCGGCCCGTTTCCAGGTACAGCTGCGGCGTGTGTGTCTTGACCAGCCTGGCTGACACCGCTGGTAGAACCGTCTCGCTGGCCGTGGCGCCCTGTGGCCGCGCTCGCCTTGTGGAATTTGTCACCGACGAGACAAGTGAGTCACATTTCCCGGCGATACATTGACATTTAGCTGTACCATTGCATGGACTTTCCGCCCGGCACCGATTACTATATTACATTACATTGTGCATTCCTTGCATCTTGCATCAATATTCCATGTATCATATTCATCCAGTTTATTCTATGTGCCTACATGTATACAGTTCCATATATATATATATATTTATATATATATATATATATATATATATATATATATATATATGATATACACGTTACAATACACACACAATGTAATGTCATAAAGTAAAATGAATAAACAGATGACACGCATCGACGTGAATATATATATATATATATATATATATATATATATATATATATATATATATATATATATATATATATATATTCACGATGCGTGTCATCTGTTTATTCATTTTACTTTATGACATTACATTGTGTGTGTATTGTATCGTGTATACCAATATTCCATGTATCATATTCATTCAGTTTTATTAATCATTTTGCCGGGAACGACCAGGATGTTGGAACCAAAGTTATTTTCCAACCCAAAGAAATCCGGGCCTCATTTTTACGTCAACATCAGCTGTGAAACTTTGCGGATAAAAAACACATCAACATAATGAAATGACCACCGTCGCTTGCTCTCTTCCCTCTGGGCACATGCTACGGGCAAACCCGTCAGAATTATTACAGCTTACAAAAATGCGATACAAGTGAAAAAAATACCTAAGCCTATTCTAGACTCTCAAATTCTCAGTTCACTCAAGGATATCTCACAGATCTGGAAGTCTACTCCGCCTTAAGATCTGTACCAGATTCACACATTTCGAGGTCAATGAACTCTGACTCACAGCTCGTGAATAGCCATTCCCTCCATGGATCAGCATGGGCCACGAAACAGTTTACTTATGTGTGCGCCACACCCCTGATGCGCACGGATGCTTCTTTCCGCATGGTTGGCCACCTTTGGCTAGACTCGAACTCGCGTTCGGACTCATGATGTTTTGGGATGTTGACATATTGAAGCATGGCTGGACAATCAGAACCATGTATTTTCGCTATCCTTGTTCTTCGAGGCTCAGCTAGGGAGCTTTAAAACATGGGCGGCTCGCATCACCTTCCTGTGTGCCCCAAGAAGCTAGAAGCTACATATAACGACAAAATAAACGTGTATGTAGGTAATAAAATGCTGTAAATGTCGTAACATTTGAGAAGCAACAAGAAAGCACATCACGATGAATAGCATGCTTCTGTGAAAGTTGAAATGACATGTAGCGTTCGGTCAGCTCCATGGTTAGGTGGGAACATGTATACCACAAAACGCAAACTAGCCCAATGCCCGGCTTGCTCTTGACACTGAATGAAATCTAATTTGTTTCTCACGATTTTCACTTCACCCTCTTAAGCTACATGGAAGCGGGCTTCTTTGTTTTCCTTCCGGCGGAGCGGGCTGCAAAACGTACAACCTTATATCATCGGGATCTATTTATTAGTACGATGATGTGTTTGCAACCATCATAGCTTAAGCAGACATGCGTGTCTTTCCGCAGATCACACATAAGGCGCATTCTGGCAAATTTCTGGCATTCTGGGATGCTGGCATGTGGGGCAAATGTGCTTTGTTTGTGCGGTTTATCTGGACGCAGTGTCCTAGAATTGCCGACTTTGGGTGTAAAGCAACACCCTATGAGGGGGAATTTTTCACTCATTTTCCCCCTATTCTATGTGAATTTTTCACTACTGCCTGACGCTGTCCAATCGCACATGCCAAACACATTTCCCTTTCTGAAGTTTTCAGATGTCATCCAAAACCGAGCTCACTTAAAACCACCAAGCATAAACAAGGCTCCACAGAACCTGGACACCTATGGCTATGTCCTGCCTCACCTACATCTGAATCATGTCTATGTATGCACAGAGCAAGGGTGCCAGTTACCTCCAGGCCCAAGAATCCCAGCGACTCCAGCCGCTTGCCCGCATTAAGTTTGGTTTGTTTACAAAATGCATCACAATCTGCAGCTGAGCGCCAAATACAAGCTTTTCACGCATCCCCTATTTTTTTGGTCTCACCACCACACCACGAAAGCAGAGCCTGGCGCAAACACCAGCAAGGCCTGGTAGAGAATTTTACTCCATGTATTTCTTTTTTCCCCAGGAAACTTGAGCGCTAAATTGCATCACTCCCGAAATGCTGGAGTGAAAAGTTCAAGAAATGTCTTCCAAATTAAACTTACAAGACGAATATCACCATTTAAACATTTCTATTAACATATTTTTCGTCAAATCAGCTGATCACAAAATTTTGCGAGAAAAGTACCAGTCCTTATATTTATTTAGCTACTTTTGTTTTTCTTGGTATCATACCAGTGTGATACCACTTTAATCATCCCTCCTTTTCGATTGTCTTTAGAGGTACCATCTGCTGCTTAACATTTTGACCAATTTCTCTGCAAGATGCTCCAACTGCGAACTTGTACGTATTCCATGCATAAATTTGATTAATTCGCCAGCCGCCCAAACATGTTTGATATGCACCCAAGCGTGAAAAATTCACGGGGAATGAAGGAGACAATTTGAAGCACGGAGCTTATTCTTACCATCATTTTTTTGTCCTCTTAAACCTTCGGTTAACCGTTTTCTTGGTTCATGGCGGTGCTCAATAATGATAAATCCAAGCCTTTCGAGTTTCTGACGCACTAGGCTACCTGGCAAGGCTATTATAATGCTGCCATACAGAGCCTTGGGACAGACCTGACGCAGCTAATACAGAAGTGTTTGATGGCGAAATTCTGCCCTCTGGAGATGTTTGTCATGCACACATCTTATTTGTTTCGCATTTTGATCTCGAAGGTTGGTGGGCATGATTGATATTTATATTTGGGGAGCGAGTCGGATGACTCTGTCTGCCAGCAGACCATGCAAAGGTACTGAATTTTTGTTTTTGGGGGGGAGCAGGAAGAAGTCAGTAATTCTCCTGAGGAACAAGTATTTGCTTGCCTCCTTTCATCACATGATTGATAACCAGAGTTAGTCATTTTCTGTTTTAATGCGTCGAGTTTTGCCATTAGACAAATTATGATGCCAGAAGGCATGCAATGGGCTTATTTTGTTCCATTGTCTTGGTAATTTGCCCAAAATTTCTTCAGGTTGGTGGGCATGATTGATATTTACATTTGGAGGTGAATGGGGTGACTCTGTCTGTCAGCAGACAATGCAGAAGGGACCGACTTTGGTTTTTTGGGGGGGAGCAGGGGCATATCTAGCCTGGAGTTGTTTTTTGGGGGCGGGGAGGGCAACCGTTCGTCGCCAGTTGGGTGGTGTGGGATCCGAGGTCTAGTGCATGGTGCCTCTCGCGAGTACCTAGTACGGACACTATTCAAACCCGAAGAAAAGCACCGAAATTCTTTTGAATCTTAAACAGAAGTTAAAACAAAACAGTTAGGCCAGTTAAAGTTAAAACAGACGGTAAGTAGACGAAACTTTTGTGAAGTTCCGGGAATGTTTTGGGGATCAGAAACATACTCTCAGAGGTTTTGGGGGGCCATGGCCCCGTGCCCCCCCCCCCCCCCAGGATCCGCCTGTGGGGGGAGCAGGGAGAAGCCAGTAAGTCTCCTGTGGACCAAGTAATTGCTTACCTTACCTGCTTTCAACACATGATTGGTGACCAGAGTTTTCCATTTTCTGTTTTAATCCATCTAGTTTTGTCATAAGACAAATTATGATGCCACAAGGCGTGCATTGGGCTTATTTTGTTCCATATTCTTGGTTTTTTGCCCCAAATTTCTTAAAGTGATTCCTCATGGCTGCTTTAACCAAATGTTTTTTTATAGTTGTCATGGTTTGCTGACCGGCAAATGACTGCACTGTATGTATGCACTATATTTTTATCACGGATGCTCTAAGCTGCACAGCAATTACAATATGAGTATGTAAGCATCTCCGATAATATATTAGTGTGTAACAAATAATCACAGCATCGCATTTAAAATGTGAAGTCAACATCTCAAACTTTGTCATTAAATTGGAAGAAACAAGCCTAAATGGATACATTTGCTGCAGCTGAAAAGGCAAGCAGCAATACTAGCATGTTCATCTAAAAGTCATATTACTTTTGGAGAAGAGAGATTGCTTTGTGTTACATACCCATTATTGCCACTGACGTAGGTTAACCATGACGATCAAAATAGTTGTTCAAAGTGATTTAAAGTGTTTTGATTTGTGTGTTGTCAACTTTGTCTGATGTCAACAAGCATACCCAAATGCAATGTATAAAAATGCAAGTTGAAACCAGCCAAAAACTATCTTTATGTATCACGTTTTTATCACAAGTGCTGCTGTCAACAGACAGGTGAGTTAAGATGATGTCCATCATATGGGCTATCCTAAGTTAGGTGAAGTTGATCAAGTGCATGGCAAGTGGCAATAGGAATTGTGCAAGAATCAGTAACTCACAACTGCTGCTGTGACACAAACAGGCTTTACAGGATGAGATGATGTAAGGCCTCTTTATGTTAGGCATAGGCTACTTTCATGAGAATAAGCATTGGTATTTTGTAAGAAACAGTCATAATATGTTTATTTTCTCTGACCCCATCTTAACAGAAACCCGAAGTATGTCTATTGTGTTTGACGTGGTGATGACCTGATGTGTAGGTGTCCAATGTTTTTTTGTTTGAGTGTTTTATGCTTGTTGAATTTTCTGTTCTTGTTTTATTATGGAATTCCTTTGCTTTGTTTTGTTTTAAAAGTGCTATGAAAGGGAAATGAAAAGTGCAGTATCAAATGATTGGTGTTAATAATTTGCTATGCTTATAAAACTGTCATGAAATTACGATGCTTTAACACGCGTCCGGTTGGCCGGCTAGATACCCTTCGTCCGGGTGTGGGGGGGGGGGGGGTCAATTTGACCCCCTCTGAGATCTCGGGGACTAAGAAGCTAGAGACACCAAATTTACAGGGTGTCTTGACCTATACGTGAACTCACTTAGGTCAAGGTTTCAGTTTCCTAGGTCATGACCTTCGGGTCAAATAAGGTCAAACAAGGTCAAATTTTAGGCTGGTCTCCAAAGCGCCCCCAGAACCTAGACAACTGTCTCTAAGCAAAACGTCATAGGCCCATTTGAGGTCACTGACCTGGTTTTACCCTTTGAAGGTCATGGTGACCAAAATGATACAAGACAGCTCTGCGTTTTGCATTTGAATAAGCGACAAAGATTACGCTAGGCAGTATGCTCCTAAAGCAAAAAGTTCAACCCGGGTCATCTCAGGTCAATGGCCTGTTCTGACCTCTAAGAAGTCAATTGAAAATGTATATTGCGGTTCTTGCTGTCAATAAAACGAAATGAGTACCAGAAACTATCTCATACAGCAAGCTCCGGAGTAACAAATCAGGTTGGTTTTGACCTTGGTGTGACCTTCATACCTGACCTCAGGTCAGCATAATTTGTTCATTTAATATTTGTGGTGCCTAAGAAAGCATCTCAGAGATGTATGTATTCGTCAAACACTCCGTTGTTGTATCAGATTGAACGATTGCCTGGAAATTGCCCTCGCTGAAATCATGGGCTGACTTTGACCTGTCATAGGTCAGCGACCTTACAAGGTACATCTAAAGCTTGCACGTCAAACGATCCGCTAGGCAGTTTTATACAGCTATGCAAAATTTGGCGCGGCGTATTTAGCTTTGGCCGTTCAGAAACCATTCGGGAAAAGCCCTCGGGGGTCAATTTACCCCCCCCCCCCCCCACCCGAGCGCGTGTTAATGTATTCTGTTTCACTTCTATGGCCTAGGATGTTAAAAAACAAAATATTTTTGTCAGGTTCCTGATCTTACGTCCATACCAACTTGAAATATATGTCTTTGTTTGCTGAAGCATCAGTCGCGAGCGCATAAGTTCCATCTTTTGTGAATTGTTTTCTTCACTCCCGCACAGTCGTTTTGTGATAGAATTTTTCACTCCCACCCTAGTTCAAAAACGATTCTAGCTCCCTGTCTGGACGTGACTGTTGGGGTTGAGATCTGCGCGCTCTAATTAGTATTCAGCTCAATAGCCCAAAACAACTGACTTGTGATACGACTCCCGATTCACCGTATAACATGAGAATAACCCCAAACTCGCACTACATTTGCGCACCTGAATCGAATCAGTGAACGGTACGTGTAGACATTTGATTCTGTCTGATGTTCTTAACGCTAGGAATTTTTCAATGACAACGTCATAATTGACTTATTACAGTACCAGGAAGCCCGTCTGGCCTGCGAGTCACCAACTTAAGTCACGACTCCATGATTCTGCGCTGGAGACGACCGCGGCAACCGAACGGAGTCATATTAAGGTAAATGCCGAACATATATCACAAGGGCCCGTTGGCCATTACGTTTAGAAAGACTCATTTCATGCAAGCTCGTTAGACTGCGTGGTATATACATCCACTTGACAGATGACTACAGGATTCATCTCATCCTAACTGCAGGCGGACTCTGCTCGGCAGACAGCTCGTCACTTGTGGGACGATGAGCGGTGATCACCATAGGATCGATCCGAGAGGATCACCAGAGGATCGAGCCGCGAGTCGATCGAGCGTGACCGATGCACCGTTGTCCTCAACTATGCACAGTCGTCTCCGTGGTCCCGGCCTCTCGTGATTAAGGAGACGAGCTGGGCGCCTGAGGACCCTCGCCCGCATGCGTGCCCACTTACCACTGGCAGACCGTTTCCCTGCTGCCGAGAATAGGCGCGGCTCCTTCCGCTCCTGTCGGCCTCGCGGCACGACCAGACTCGGTCGCTGGGCAGACGGTCGTGACAGGTAGGCTGGTTTGTGTAGGCACGATGCTTCTCCTGGTAATCTGAGACGCGTCCGAGGGGGGCGAGGAGCGGACGCTCCAGGTCGTATTGCGCGGTGGCCGCGGTAACCTGACGTCTGTCTGGCACAGTCCGGCGCTGCGCCGCGTCATAGCGTCAATCAGGCCGGGCGGGAGCGGCCTCGAGCGTCCCGGGGAGGGCGCTGGACGAGCCGACTCATCAGTGTGAAGACGAGTCAGGCCGGGCGGGAGCGGCCTCGAGCGTCCCGGGGAGGGCGCTGGACGAGCAGACTCATCAGTGTGAAGACGAGGCCAGGGATGCGTGTCGAACCACGCCAGCTAGCACGCGCTCCTGTCGTGGCCTAGGCGCTGCGACACATCCGCGCCCCTCAGCGTGCATAAGCTTGGCAAGTTACATGGGCGTGCTTTTTTCGTAACCTTCACCCACTACAAGCGAACTTGGTGCGCGACGCCTTCTATCCTAGCGGCTCACAATATTACACAAAGAACGAATAGAGCCTGCCAAAAATATCATGTTACATATGTGCTTAAGAAACTGCGTTATCCCAGAGTAATAATGGTATTTACGAGTTTCCAGACAAAGCATCTCGCGGGCTTGTTTGGCAGGTCGGATTCCTTCCACAACACAGCATTAGGTAAGTCGCGGCATTCCCTAATGAGAGACGGCAGACACAAAACACAAAACGATAGAACAAACTTGAGGGGGGGGGGGAGGACAGAGACTAACCACTGCAGTCCAAGATACCAGAGGTACGAGGTTCGATTCCTCGCGGCGCTTGCCCTTCTTGTCAGGTAAAAGGCAGGTGACACCATATGCCCTCAGCAGCTGAGTACGTCGTCCCAATGACGACAACGACGAGGCAGAGAGTCATACCCACACTAGGTACGACTATAACCACCGGAAGTGACGCTAGAAAGCCCAAACAAACACGCATGCTGTACAGTCCAGCTTCTGCCAATTGTTTCAATGTGCTGAGCCCGTTCATCGGGCGATCCGCTGAGCCAGGCAAGCCTATCGCCTAGCAGACGACGGGTGCCGTCACTGATCGAGGGTTTGTGACATTGACCAGATCATAAGAGAAGGAACTCATGGAAACGGATGGTAAGAGATTCCTAGCTGGTATGGGTTCGAGGCTCCTTTCTGTTCGAGGCCGTCTGTCAGTTCCTTTGGCAGCAACCTTCCCTATTTGATGGCGATTAATTGATTGTGCCGGTGGCAATAAGAGACGGTCAGCGACAGTCAGAGGCGATCGGCAGCACTCAGAGGTGGTGCACGACATTCGGAGGCGGTCGGAAACAGTCAGAAGCGGCTAGCGACACTCAGAGGCGGTCGACGACAGTCAGAGGCGCTTGGCAATAGTCAGAGGTGGTCGGCGACAGCCAGAGGCTGTCGGAGACAGTCAGAGGCGGTCGGCGACAGTCAGAGGCAGTCGGCAACACTCAGAGGCGGTTGACGACAGTCAAAAGCGGTCGACGACAGTCAGAAGCGGTCGGCGACAGCCAGAGATTCTGCGAGCAAACCTCCGGTCAGCGCTGCTGATGACAAATACCGAACCATGGGGCTGATTCGGCCGGTGCCAGCCACTACGTGCGCAACGCGCTTAACCATGGCTGTCACCGACTCCAAGTGGGTGGCTGGTGGCGACAGCGCCCGGGCGCGTCTGGTTTAGCGCTGTATGGTCAGATGTTGCGCTCGTAGTGGGAGTTCGCCTCGGCAACTGTGTGCAACAGCAGACTGTACTCGCCCGGCCTGGTTGGCATATACATCTTGAAGTCTCAACAGCATCTGGAGTGCGCCAAACTCGTCGGGAGTTTGGCGTCGTCGAGAGACGTTTGAACGGCCAGAAGTAGCGACTCGATTTGCGATCGGCTTTGTTGAAGATGCTGCAAAGCCGACAAAACTTGTTGCTCTTCCGCCGCTCGACTTGGGCTTCTCGGTCGCCGAACCTTTGACATTGCAATAGCGTAACGAATACGCAGTCGCAGGCCTTGAACACAGTCGGTCATCTTGTTGCAATATCTGCAATCGCAAGGCTTGCACAACTCAAGCAGCAAGTATACTGTATGTGCCAAGATAAGGCGGATCTTAGCTGATCTGTTTTTGGAACGGTTGAGGTTTTCCCGATGTGAGCTTTCCAGATGCCTTCAACTTTTCTTATGAGTGCCACGAAAACAGTCAGATTAGCCTGACCTGACGTGGTCCGTTTTTGGCCATGCCCCCGGGACATTGGGCAGACGTCCGGTAAGCGTATTTAGACGTCACACCGTAATCACGTATACGTCATGCGACACTAACATTCCGAACTGGATGCAACAAACCACAGCTCCTTTGCTGGTCTATATCTGCTCTCTCCAGTGGCTGCTATTCCTATCTAGCTGACCTTGGTCTGCACCCAAGGGACTCGCGGCTTCAGCATCCCGCGCCGGAACGATTTGCTATTTAATCAGCACTGGCGGTGCGTTGTTCGTAGCTCCGGCTCCGTTTTTACCGCGATCCAAAGGGATCTGTCCTTTCAGAGTAGCTAGCTTGGCCCTGAAGTTTTCAGCATCAGTTGGGATGCAAATGAGTTGTCAAAATCTCTCCGGAACACATGACAGCTCCTGTGCTGTTTAGCATGACACCTTTTAAGTGATAAGACTCATAATTAATGAAATAGACAACTGTATACGTAAGCCAATGCATCATTTACCTAAAATCGTGCCCACAAAAATGCTATAAATCTTATACGACCCAAACACCGGTCAAGCACGAATACACAGGGGTGGTAATACCTGCCAACTCGGTGGCTAAGGTCGGCGACAACAATGTATATATTCACGCAAAGCTTGGTGCCAAAAATGTTTTTGGACAGCAAATTTTGGTGACGGCCGAGGCGCAAAAAGCTCACTATGCAAAACATAACGCGAGGTCTGCATACATAGTTATTATGCCTTCATGGTAATACCTTTTATCACACACCAACAAACGTTTCCGTAAAGATGCTTGACTGTATTCTACGGCACCATGGTATCTTTTCTAGGTTTCATTCCGACCCGGCGACAAAAATATATGTTTTAGTTGGTCGGCCGACTCGGTGACAGGCCAGCGACAAACCAGTGTATTTCCTATGGTCCGATCTGTCGGCCGATTCGCTGTTTAACAGCCGACCCTCAGTGTCCGAACTAGGCAGTATAAAATACTGAACAATCTAGATATGAGGATTCATCTAGCCGGAAGGGCATGTTTCAGTCGCTGCGATGCGACTGATATTTTAAGGGTGGTGACTTTAAGTGCATTACATTCTAAGGGTTATTCGCACTGAAGTGTCATGAATGCCTGCCTGAGGTTTAATTTATGACCTTGATAACTTCGTTGGCGGTGCGCGATTCAGCATCCCGTCCTCAGCGACGAAAGACATGGGCAGCTCGGGGTAAGTCGGCGGGATGATCCGATGAAGGTAGAAATTGACCTTTGATTATCCAAACCGCTTTTTCAAGACACCAAAAAGGTTATTGACCCACTGGAGTAGTCACAAGCGACCAGCCTTTTTCCCTTTGAAAAGAACCGTGGGTTTGATGTTGAAGTCTGATGACACTCCTCATGAAGGAAAACTACAGGAGGTGATGATGGTTCTGAAATGTCAATTTAGGCCATTTTTGCTCGTATCCTTCTGGGCATGGACTGAATGACCATTTTGTCATATGATATCGCGTTAAGCTACTAGCGACAATTTTTCCTCCAAAATCTGGTCGGCAACCAAAAGTAAATTTTTTTCCGCCACTGGCTAGATAAACCAGGCAGAGAGAGTACTCACAACACTTATATTTGCCAGTCGGTGCATCTGATGGCCTGAGCGAGACGTCAAACCGCGCGCCGTTTCAGTGCCGCCGCCTGCACGGCTTGTGCGTGCTGGGGTAATCCTCGTGCCCCGTCCTCCAACCAGGCACAACGCCTCGAGCTGATGCTATCCTTGCCTCCCGCTCTCCATCCAGGTACAACGTCTCGCTCGACTGCGAGCCACAGACATTCCCGCTATGCTCGTCGGACCCGCTCTGTACGAATCGTTTCGTCGCGCTGCAGCTGGACGGAAACGACACGGACCACGTGACATTCCGCTTGGAGGGCCTACAGGCGGCCCGGCGTCACCGTCTGGCAGTGGCCGCCGCCACCCAGGCCGGCCAGGGGCCCTTCAGCAGCCCAGCAGAGGCCAGCACTCTCTCGGGAGGTGAGTGTCACTCACCGGCGTGACGTGCGCTGCAGGATCAGGCGTGCTGTGCTTTGGCACTCGCTACGGCATGAACTTCGTAACGTTGAACGGGGCATGCAGTTATATATTCGCATGCTTGTGTTTGCTCGGTTACGGCGTGCGGTTCGCGCGTTTTTAAAGGAAATGCTGACATTTGAAGGCATTAAAGTAAACATTAGAGATGATAAAATAAGCTTGCAATTAACTATTGATTGTGTTAAAGTGAAAAGACTGCTCTAAACAACACAATTTGTCTGTTTAGTTGATAAGCTTTTCAATGCGTCATTGTTTGGAAACGTCGTCGTACCTTGCCCAACATTAATTAAAAGCCAATTGACGACCGTTATATCTGGAAATCGTGCTCACGAACGCTAGATGTGAAGGACTCGACAACTGCATTTTTCTTGACCTTGATTGCCGCATGGCTAATGGAATGGTAAAATTTAAATGCTGTTATTATGACGTCATAGATACCTGTGTGATCTTGAAATAGTCTCTCCGACAGTCTGCACATTTTAGCGGGCGTGTAGCTCAGAAACTGGCGGGGTTTAGATCTTAAGAATGGCAGGGTTGTGAAAAGCACCAAATGATGTTCAAGATGGCTTTCTCAGTTTCAGATCCCTAACAAATGAAGAATATTCCCTTTTTAAGACGTTGCTTCCATCGCAAATTATGCAATGAATGAGTGTGTAGAAGCTTGCGGCTACCCCTTTCCATCCATATTTTTTCTTCGCGCTGCAGTATTTTCGCAAATATTTTGACTTCCGCAAGCGTGATGGTTTGGGGTTACAAAAACATCGCCCTGGAATCTCACTTATTCTTTGGCTTGAGAGCATATATATATATTTGCTGCTGGTGGTTGTCCGAAGCGTGCGGGACTCGCGAGACCCATTAATCAGTGACGGATGGCACCGCCGGACGCCTAGGCTGCTCATTGCGGCGGCGCCGCGCTGTGACCGCGCGCTGGCCCAGCTGATGGACTATCCGGGCAGGAAGGGGTGTAATCGCCGCCCTCCATTAGGGCCGACCCGGCCCGACAGGCCATTAGGTAATGGTGTCGGCTGGCGCGCCTCTCGCGACCTCCGGCCCGGCGTAGACGGCTCTGCCGTCGCAGCTTGGGAGTCCAGGGCCTCGAGCTGGACGGAGGGGGAGGGATGAGGGGCTGCCCCAGCTTACACGCGGACTCCCTCAACCAGGCCCGCGCAGGCGTCCGGTCAGCGCGCCGGGATCTTGAAGCGTGGGGAAGGAGGTCGTCATGAGGCGCACCGCTACCGCTAGGACGCAAACACGCATGGCTGCCCCGGCATATAACAAACGCGATGCAGCACACAAGTGCCGTCGCGGTTTAGGGCACCAGTGCTGACGCGTTGCATGGGCTGGATAAGGCTGAGACTCTGCCCGCGCTTAGGAGTCCCGGCCTGTATTAAGGGCGTCGGCTCAACCAGCACCAGTGCAAGGTGATCTGTATTGAGCGCTTTGAATAAATGTCATCTGGTACCAGTGCCAGTACCAGCTAAACATTGCGCATTGCTAGTCCATCCACAGCAGAATATTTCGTCCCTGATTGCAATACCGGGCGTTGGGTGTAGCGGGAACTGATACGCGGCTGTACACACTGATGTGGGAAATTGACAGCTGACTGCTTGTCCTGCACTCAAGGCTGCACCCATGAGCGCAGCCACGTACTTGCAGTGAGGGGGAGCACGGGGGGGGGGGGTTGACAATGAGTGGCCTGATGGCGAAAGCCCACCCCCGCATGCAGCAAGAAATTGCCGGATATGGCTCCCTCAGTTTTGAAGGAGAAACTTGTTTTGTTTCAGTTATATGTTTTCCTTTTTTAACTGGAATAAAAGCCGGAACCTTCCGCCAAATACAATTATATTTGCATTTCGAAGTCAATTAACTAAAGGAAGTGGGGTTTAGATAACTGCATGAGAAATCAACCAACGTTTTCATTGTAAATTATTCGTTGCATTCTTTCTGAACCGACAGAAATTTCACAGAATTGTTCTGGGTTATGCAACGATATGGAGGGCACGCGAACGTAGATTCAAGATTGAAATAGGGATCGCAAATCTAAATCAACAGTGCCAACCCGCGTTCGCCTGGGAATATTCAACCGTTAGTCAGAATCGATTAGTGGAACAAATAGGCAGAATAGTTTTGAGCCTGCACGCCTGCACGTCTGAGGCACAACAAAGTCCGCCAGGTGTTACAGTTGTTATAGACCACGTGGATTGGGCTGTGTACGTTACACTCGGCGACGGCCAACGGGCGGACAACAATACAGCCGCGTCTGAAACAAGAATCTTTGAACGTTTTGGCGTACTCATTCGTACTTTTCAAAGGCAGCCCTGCCTTGACTTCATTTGCGTGATTTTTAGATTGGTAATAGGAACGGAACAGAATTCACAGCACGGTTAACTGGCGCTACAATTCAATGGTGGAGCTGGATGAGTAGAGGTAATATCTAAATTTTTGTGTTGAAACTGCTCATCTGTTCAGATCACAATCTAAATTTTTACGACGGTCGTTATGGCGCGCCCGGCATCCGCCACGTGGTGTTACCTATAGCGGCCAACGCCGTTCGGTTTAACGGAAGCTGCAACACGAGTCACCTAAGATTGCGAGCGCCACTGCTTAAAGCTTTTTTATGAAATTTGGGTTGCAAGTCTATCCTGCAAAAGTATGGACGTTTTCAGGCAAACGTTGGCTGACATTTTTGCATTTGTTTTGTTCTCATCTCATTTTGGTTCACTCTATTTAAGGCTAATGAGATCCCCTACCTTTTTCCATGTGAGGGATCCAGTGAGAAGAACACTAGGAAGCACATTATCGCTCCCGGCCCAGCAATGGAGGGTCATTCCGTCCCAGCTCGGGGTGCCTGCCAGCCACAATTGTAGTGAGATATGGGGCAATGTACTGTGGTCGATACAGAAGCCTTTAGGATGATGCATCATGCATTGACTTCAGTACGGCGTACCCCCGGTTCCGTCCTGGGAAATCTGACTGACGTAGGGCCCACTTTCATTGTCTCTTTGTGGGCACATATCGCTATCTATCATACCTCCTTTCATTGTCAGAAAACTCTGACCAACGCAAGAGACCCTCTGGCATTCGAGGTCCCGTCCGCGTGCCTGTTCAACGGGCACACGGAGCAGGGGTACGCCGGACTGAAGTCTGTGTGTTCACCCGTTGATCGTCGGTCCCGGCGGCCATTCGGACCCGTCTTCGGGCTCCCCTCGAGCACTCTGCCTGGCCTCTTTGGGACCCCTGACCAATACAGAGCCCCTTGTTAGGTACTGCGAGCCCCCGGCCGACACAGGGGACCCTTATTGACTTATGAGCCCAGACCAACGTTGGCCGCGGGCCCCAGCCTTGTTTCTGCTTTGGAAATGGACTCTCGACCAAGTGCTCAGCACTAGTGGTGCCCGACGGAAATCGACTCAGGTGGATGGGTGGGTGGCGGAGGGGGGGGGGGGGGGGAGGAATCGGCGCAAAAGGTCCTCTGACTGACATTTGACATTTGAGATCCCGGCCCTGCGAGGCCGGCCCTTAACCCGACCTCCCGTAAATCCCAAGGCTCCCGGAGGGTCGGTCTGGAGGGGCCCGAAGGTGCCCTCGGGACCTATGCGATGGCATGTGCCCCTTGCGTGTCCCCGGGACCTATGTGGTGGCATGTGCCCCTTGTGTGCCCCCGGGACCTATGCGGTGGCATGTGCCCCATGTGCCCCTTGGTGGCACTTGGCTCGACTGGCTCCAACTCAAAACAGTAAATGAGGTGTGCATACCACGTATATTATTGATATTTGCATATCACCTAGCACCAATATGTGACATGTAATATAAGGCAAACGTATGAATTATTGCAGGAGTATGCTCGGACTCGTTCTCCTGTACCCGTAGACGCGCAGTGGATAGGACGGTTGATGGGACGATAGAACAATATCGTGAAAAGTTCGAGCCTCGCTGCTTCCGTCCAAAGTTCCATACGACGGCGAAAGGTAGCTCAACGCAATGCCATTCGTTAAATAGCGATCCTTATTCAATAGAAATAAATGGGCGGACGCACTCTGAGCATAAACTGACACATTGGGTTCTCAAAGTAGGGTAGAACCATATGCATGTTCTCGACGGTGACATTTCCAGAGGCCAGTATCCTGTGGTGACGTCCAAAGTTCGGAGTTTACGACGTGCGGCCGTCGTGGGATAATTCGTGGTCGGCGACCTTTGCCAGGAACTCCGTCGCCTGGAATTACGGACTAACTAAGGGAGGAGGTCCAGAGGAAATCGGATGCCGTTATGAACAGAACTAAGATATTCAGTAAATTTCACCACCAATGACCTACGGAAACCTTAAGGTCTGGTGCGCTTAACTCGCGCCCGGGTGGCCGCCTAGATACCCTTTGCTCGGATTGGGGTCAGTTTGGCCCCCTGAGATCTCGGGAATTAAGAAAGTTAGAGACACCAAATTTACAGGGTATTTTGACCTGTCCATAAT